TTCCCGAAACGTCAAAATAAATTATGTATTTACTTTTTTATTTAAAAACCAAAACGAAAATATTTTCTAATACAAACAAAATTTTTTTTAAAGTATAATAAACTGGTCAGACTGATAATTTGGAAGTCCTGTTTTATGACAAAAATGACTTTTCATCTGTACAAAAATATTAAATTTGACATGAAATGGTGAATTTTTAGTTTGGTCCTCTTTGATCAATTTGGTCTGCTTATCCTGTTTTAGGCGAAAAACCTGGCAACAGACCAAAATGATAGGAATCGTCCAAAACCAACCAAACGAAAGACAAGCAATTAATTGTCACCGGAAAATATTATTACAACACATCTAGGGAAACATCGACATTTGATTTTATATTAATTAATCTTTAAGTAAGAGTATTGGTTGAGATAAAAAAGTCAGTGTCACGAGCGGGATTCGAACCCACGACATTCGGCTAAATACGCCGCTGCTCTATCACTTGCACTGTAGAGAGCAGCAAGCCTAGAGCAGCGGCTCGAGGAAGGTCGTGGGTTCGAATCCCGCTCGTGACACTGACTTTCATTTCTCAACCCATACCTAACTTAAAGATTAATTAATTGAAAAGAATTTATTTGGTCAATCGGACCACGAAACCTAATCGATTTGATTTTATGTTCGTTTAATTTAAAATTTCTCATTATTAAATGGGACTGTGCGTTTTTATCGTTTATAAAGAAAATAAGGAAGGAATAACGAAAATGAAAAAAAAAGGATGTAGCAACTAGGACAATACTGACAATTTATATCGTACTGTTGATAGGAATTATAACCTATCGACAGTCATTTAAATTTATCTTTCATACTGATTTGTTTAATAATTGCCAAAATACGCAGTTTTAGCATTTACCAGCTAATAAATGCCAGCTGGTGTGACGACAAGGAAGAGATGTAAAAATCAAAAACCTATAGCAATTATAAATATTTGATTAATTTTATAACGTAGTAAAAAGATTAAGACAGAAAGTGACGAACTGCAAAAACAGATGTATCAGCTGAATATTGCTAGCTTCCTTTTTCGTACAATCCGGTTCAAGTGCTAATTAATTCAATTGATTTTTTTTCATCTTCACCGCTTTTCAGATGAACCGGTAGCTTTCGCTTTTTTTCTGCTATTCGCGTATCATTGAGAATGATCCCAAGGTCTACCTGAGGAGGACAGACAAATTTTCGGCCTGTAATTAGATACTTGATTGGAACGTTCAGGCAGACCGAAAAACCGAAGCTACCTGAGCTTTACAATTCTACCTTATATTTATCAAAACAAAAAGGTATACAATTTATTCCCTCGTCTATGAGTAAATTTTGGTAATTTTCAGTTAATAAAGGCAAGAAAGCAGCGAGAAGAAAGTGATCAGTGTCATTATAAGAAATTAATGAAAGTTATAAAAAAAGCGATTTCATTTTAAATTACTACACGAATAAAAATGTTGTTTCAGTCAAATTCTCTTAAAGTTTATCTTAATGTTTGAAAAACGGCGTAAAACCCGGGTAAATTATTGTTTAAAAGGCGCCGAGACAGTAACAGCGAGGACAGGTGGACCCGAGGACCGATAACAGTCAGGTTTCATCGGATTCCACATCACACACTTCAATTTACTACCTAGTTTTTAACCCAATTCTGAACAAATTTGTGTAGAAACAGGACTCTCGTGGCATAAAGATTAAACGGAAGAATTGTATTCATAAATTATACTTTGATTTGAGAAAACTGGAATATTTTTACGATTTGGGAACTTAAATTGCATTAAAACAAATGAACTCGAGGGAAATCATGAAGAAAATAACTTACTAAAAGAACATATTTGTGGAATGATATTCGTAAATAACGTTCAAGGATTTTGCAAGGTTTTTCCACCAAAGTTGAATTTTCTTCAAGTCAAGAATTCACCGTGCAATAGAAAATAACCCGGTTAAATTGGCGATTAAGTGGTAGGAGAGGCGGATAATTTGAAGAGCACTAATGCTCAGTTGCGCAACTGCTGCCAGAATGCTTGGTGTCGGGTGACAAAAAGCCGTTCGGCTGTAGAAAGCGACTGGGGTAAACAGTAGCGTGGGGCAATATCCTGAAATTATTATGGCATTTCTTTTATACATGCAACCGTTGTGTAAACCGGGCGACAATTCCGGCGAAACTCATTCGACTCCAGGGGGAAGTCGGAAGAATCGTGTCATCTCGAAAAGATAAATTTTTCGTTATGTCCCCTCGAAGATTTTGGAAAATATAGTCTAACTGGATAAATTATGTCTTTGGGTCTATGGGGTGGTACTGAAGATTTCGATACCGATTTGGTCTACTTCAAAATTTCAGTACAATTTCACGACCACCGGCCTTCATATAAGTCAGAAATAAGAAATCATAAATAATAATAAAAATAAATACGTGCCCAACTGGCAGCAGAAGAATAAAAGACAATTGTTTCTTGACATATATCTACAATACGTTATAATCATGGAAGTGGTTTAAATTTAGACAGAATTATCAAACCATCGATAAGTAAATGTTTAAAAAATGAATTAAAAAATTAAAAACTGCCAAAGCACCATTGATGACGAGAAGGAAAATTGGTCAGACAAGGATGATAGTAAACGATCGAGATTTTCTGTTTTTGAGGTCTTCTTATGAATATGTTTGCGATTTCGGTACTGAATCGGACTACTTCACATACCAATGCGTTTTTCCCGTACACCATCCTTTAAAATCAGAAAGTCAAAAGGTTCCAACAAATACCGGTCCAACTGGAAGAAGTAGAACAACAACAACAACAACAACAAAAAGGAAAAAATATTTCTTGACATAATTATATCCACTTTATAATCTTGGAATTGGTATAATTTTAGACTGGGTTATCAAACCATCTATCTATAAGTTAAGTGTTTACAAAATGAATTAAAAACTGCCAAAGCGCCATTGATGATGATGAGAATGAAACTACGAGGTTAGTCAGAAATGAAAGGATGATCGGAAAGGATAGAGATTTTCTGTTTTTGAGATTTTCTTATGAATATTTTTGCGATTTCGATACTGAATCGAACTACTTGATAATTTCAGTACGTTTTTCCCGTACACCGGCCATTAAAGTTCCAAAAAATACCTGCCCAATTAGAAGAAGAAGAAGAAGAAAAGGAAAATTGTTTCTTGACATATATCCACTTTACAAGGAATTGGTATAAATTTAAACAGGGTTATCAAACCATGTGTCCATAAGTTAAGTGTATAAAAAATGAATTAAAAAATTAAAAACTGTCAAAGCATCGTTGAAGAAAAAATATTGCGTCGGAAGGACAAAAACTGCCAGGTTGGTCAGACTTCAAAGGATGATCGGAAACTATAGAGATTTTCTGTTTTTGAGGTCTTCTTATGAATATTTTTGCGATTTCGATACTGAATCGAACTACTTGATGATCTCAGTAAGTTTTTTCTGTACATCGGCCCTTTATTAGAGTCAGAAAGTTGCAGCAAATATCTGCTCAACAGGAAGAAGAAAAATATAAATGTTTTTTGATATGTATCTACTTATAATCATGGAAGTGGTATAAATTAGACAGAGATATCGAACCATCTATCGATAAGTTAAGTGTTTCCAAAATAAATTATAAAATTAAAAACTGTCAAGCATCATTGATGATGAGAAGGAAAATTGCGTCGGAAGGACAAAAACTGTTGTTCAGACAAGGATGATCGGAAACGATAGAGATTTTCTGTTTTTGAGGTCTTCTTATGTAGATTTTTTTGCGATTTCGATACTGAATCGGACTACTTGACGATTTCATTACTTTTTTCCCTTTATTAAAGTTAGAAAGTTCCAACAAATACCTGCCAACTGGGGGAAGAATAAGAAAAAGAAGGAAAAAATGTTTCTTGATATATATCTAAGTTAAATGTTTACCAAAATGGAGTGTACTAAAACAAATTATGCATCAAATAAAAACATATTTTTGTCAGGTAGTAATAAAAAATAAAACCCAACAGAGTAAAGTAGCTACCGGTTTGTAATGCCCATGATACAACTAGAAAAAGAAAAAGAAAAAGAAACATTTTTGCTGTAATAATTTACTTTACAATCATGGGAGTGTTATAGACATAAATCAATGGAATTGAACCCTATTTCTAAGATACACGTGTTTCACGAAACGGACAAAACCATCAGTGAAGATGCCGAGAAGCCGAATTATGTCTGAGAGATCGAAACAGCTAAAGGCAGACTAAAATGATTAGATATGTTAAACGATAGAGCTCTGATAAACGAATTAAATGTTTTTGAAGAAAAGCTAGCTTTGGGCTTCCCCTAAGATAACGCTCAAATACAAAAAAGTAATCTGTTTGTTAAATCAATTGATAAAGGATAATGGCCCGTAAAAAACCTGGAAAAATATTTTTAAAAGATCATAATTTTATTTACTCTCCTGTAATCTCCGAGTGGTATTACGCGTTCAATTAAACCGGAGTTAATTCTCAAATATTACTATTTAAAAAAAACCGTGATAAAAAAAAACACCTGTCGAGCAGAGGAGTGCAAAACTTATCGCTACATAATTGATTCCATGTGTAATTCAGTTGAGCTTTTTTAATATATATTTCTGCAATATTCACCGACAGGAAAGGCTTTTCAAGGCTGTTGAATAAAACTATGTTTTTTCTGCTTATCATGCTATTCCTTTTATAAAAATAACAGCAGTCAGCAGGCCTAACTTGAAATTACTGTTTGAATTTATTAAATTTTTTAAAACAAGAATTATTTTATACTTATTATGTCTTCTTGATTATATACGTTAAGTTATGGTAAATTTTGTTTGTTCAGTTTGACTGTATTTTCTTTAGTTTTAAGTTAGTATCATTTATTTTAAAAAAAAGTATTTCGTGCATGTATAGATTAGTAACTACTTAAAACAAATAGAGACAGAAGTACAAGTTGCTAAGTACAAGAAAAATATTAGTTTTAGTAAGAGCTAATGAGACTTACCCAGGTCGGCACAAAACGCCTTTTCCCTCAACGAATTGTCCGCATCTGTAAAAAGAAAGGAAAGGCTTAATAACAGGTTTGCCCAGGAGGTGTAGAAGGGACCATTAGCTCGGGAGGGAACGAGCGGGAACCTTTGAACCACCGGTGGCCGCTCAGTATGCAGAAAATGGTGAAAAAACCGTCTCTTATTTCATGTTGATACGGTTAATCGAAAGGCGTTAATCAAAATGTTAAAAGGCGAGTGTTAACAACCCGTAAACAGATAGGATTATTACGATATTACCGACGAATCCTGTCCTGACACGGCATTAGCCGATAATGTATTCCGATCCGGCGCCGGGTGGGACGGATTTACATGAGATCGGAAGGGTGAGGGAGATTTTAACGCCCCAAGACAAATCGTCGTCTTTTTTCCTTTTCTTACAAAAGACTTGGGTTTGAGATTACTTCCTTCTATTTCCACTACAAATAAAGAAAATTATAAAAGTTCAAAGTTATTTTTTCTGATCAACTCCTTTTGGAACGTAATATCTCCACCTGGTAGCTTTTTATACGTTTATCAAACAGAAACATCAAACACAGACAAACCTGATGATGGCAGAATGCCGTAACGCGTTTCTAGTTTCAACCGTTCAACATGCCAACTAAAAAAAAGACGGTCTTTTATTATTCTATTTCCTCTATAAATAAATGAAATTGTCGAACTTAAAAGTTACTTTTCTGATCAACTATTCAACTTGGAACGTAAAGTACCCACCTGGTGGCTTTTTGTACGTTTGTCAAACAGAAATTGCATCAAACATAGACAAACCTGATGATGGCAAAATGCCGAAACATGTATCAATTTGCCGGCCAAAAAAGACAGTCTTTCATTATTCTATTACTCTACAAATAAATGAAATGATTAAAGTTAAAAGTTACTTTTTCTGATCAACTATTCAATTTGGAACGTAAAGTAGCCACCTGGTGGCTTTTTATATGTTTGTCAAACAGAAATTGCATCAAACATAGACAAACCTGATGATGGCAGAATGACGAAAGGGGATTCAATTTGCCGACCAAAAAAGACAGTCTTTCATTATTCTATTTCCTCTACAAATAAATAAAATTGTCGAAGTAAAAAGTTACTTTTTCTGATCAACTGTTCAATTTGGAACGTAAAGTCTCCACCTGGTGGCTTTTTATACGTTTGTCAAACAGATATTGCATCAAACTCAGACAAACCTGATGATGGCAGAATGCCGAAACATGTTTCTAGTTACAACCGTTCAATTTGCCGGCCAAAAAAGACAGTTTTTAATTATTCCTAAGTGCAGTTTGGTTTTTGTTCTACCTGGACACTACACTGTTTTATTTCATTTAGGGTGCGTTTGTATATTTTTTAAAATCAGATTTACTCTTATAAGTTTGTAAAACGGAACAGCAATTAAAGAATGGACCTATTACTGAAGATGTCGAATTGATAAAAACATCGATGATAGGCGGACAAAAAAGTTCAACACTGCTAAGAATATGCAAGTGTTTTAGCTTTAACTACATTCAGTGCTGTCATTACTTCCATATTTTGGTTCATCAGTTATTATAGGTAGGCATGTGAAGTTTTTAAATGAGAGTTCTTTTTATAAGTTTCTAAAAGGGATCAACGATTGAAGAATAGACCTAACACTGAAGATATCGCATTGCCAAAAATTTAGAAGAAAGGCGGACAAGAAAACAACAAGGTCTTCACGCTACAAACTTCAAGAAGAACAAGCATCTGTTCTTCATTTTCTTGCACGTTGAATCTTTGGCTTTAACCTTATTTAGTGCTGTTAATACTTCCATTGGGCTGGCAGTAGCTTGCATGTGTTGAAAAAAGTTTTTAACTATTGCTAATGGGCAATTTGGTCGTTTCCGGTCTTCCTGGACTTCACTGTTTTGGTACATCAGACAATGTGGGTCGGCTTGTGAATTTTTTTAAAATCAGAGTTCCTTTTAAATATGTTAAAAAGAGAGTCATTATTGAAGAAGACGAATCGCCGAAAAACATTAGATTGGAGGACAAGGATTAAACTACAGGTTCATCAAGCTGGAAACATCAAGACCACGTCTTCTTAGTTGTTTATTTTTTTCCAGTACACTTTTAATCTTTGATTCTAGGTACATTCAGCATTCTTTTATGTTATATTGGCTTGATATTATGTTTTGTTTTCTCGACAAACGACTGTTATTTACTGCAGGGTTGAATTGTTAATATGAGTTTTTATTGTTAGAAATAGAACTGTTCAATTTGAACCAGTAAGTTAATTTTTAATGATTATTACATTTATTAGATTTCTCCTTGAAGTCCCTCCTGGCCATCTTGGTCTGCCTTTCCTAGCTGGTTTTGTTTTTCTAAAATTTATTTGTTCTTTTTAGTTTCAAAGAGTAAAGGATAGAATAACTACCACAGATTGCGTAATGACATGACCAAACTTTAAAGTTAAATCCATTATATTTCGTGGTCCGATTGACCAAATAACTTCTTTCAATTAATTAATCTTTATGTGTCACGAGCGGGATTCGAACCAACGACCTTCGGCTAAATACGCCGCTGCCCTACCACTTGAGCTGTCGTGACTTCGATCCACTCGGACACCAACTTCTCATCTCAACCTACCTTTCGAATTTCCCCTCCTTTTTTTCCATTTTTAAAATGTCGTGGGATGAGATGGGAAGTTGGTGTCCGAGTGGATCGAAGTCACACGATAGCTCGAGTGGTAGAGCAGCGGCCTATTTAACCGAAGGTCGTGGGTTCGAATCCCGCTCGTGACACTGCTTTTTATTTCAACCAATATCTCACATAAAGATTAATTAATTTAAAATTAATCTGAAACTAGATTGAACTTACATGTTTTTTGCATTTACAAATTACACATGAGTTTAAAAAAATTAATAAGTCAAAGGGGGGATATAATTTTTCTTACGGTATATGTGCGCCATGGTATTCCTCAACTGTTGGAATGTTTAAGTCATGTCAATGCCATACAGTAGCATTAAAAATCCTTCGGTTTTTTCGAGTCCATTCATTTTGATTGAAATTGAAACGCAGTTATAAATTCCAGAATGGATAGAATCTATATATATATTTTTTTTTTAAAACTCGTTTAACTGATAATCGGGATCAACGCTTTCCCTCAGCAGTATCTTATTTGCTCAGATATAACAATAATGACTCAGTGGACAAAAAACAAGGTTGTGCAACAACCGTCCGTTCGCGGTCTTTTGTCTCATACCCTGGATTTGGTACCGGGAATCGAAAAATGTGTATTATTCCCACACGGTACAGGTTGCTCAATGGTTTTTTAGGCTAATGATGTCGGTAGCGACTCAAAGAGTAAGGGCGATGAGGGAGAGAGAGAAGGAGAACGCAATGAAAAGTTACTTTAAATAATAGCTTTAATACCAAGGCTGGCCGGTGATTAATCTACGACTGGCAGCGAAGTCATTACCGCCACCTTTTATAAGGGGAAAAAATCTAGAGAGACATTTAGGATTAGGAGTACATCTTTAAGAACCGTCCTATATCATTCTGTTGGGTTTTTTAATTCGTATCGAAGTTATCGGGATGGGCGCAAATCGATAGTAACAGTACGAGGCCTCGGCGACCCAGTGCGCGGTCCTTTGATCTACCGCGGTGCTCGTTCCTTCGACCCTCTTCGGTGATGAGAACATCAAAGAGTCGCTAAAGGGCGGCCCTGCTACCGACATTCCACGAGGCAAGTCGTTAAAAATGAAAGTGAAACCGCGAGAGGTCGTTGCCTAGATTAAGTGCAAGAAGACATGCGGATACTCCGGTCTATATACGGGAACTTCCTGGTATAAAAAAACAACAACAAGGTTCTGTATCAAAAAGCTTCCAATACTGGATTTACTCGGATCAGACAGAAACCGGAAGTAAATCAACCTCTTATGAAAACATTTGTCCGACTGTAATGAAAAATCTGTGGTGTATAGTTTCCGTTACTTGAAGATTATTTGGAGGTCGTGAGATGCGGTCTGGAGTGACGTAGGTTTTAGAAAAACATTTTCTTTATCTTACCAACGTTTCGATCTTTACTGAGATCATCTTCAGGGCTCAAAGTGCTTGTTTTCTGCGTTGTGTTATTCTTGTGTGTCGTGTTGACAGTGCCCCCCATTTGCCCACCGCTGTACCCATCGCTTTTGTTACTAAGGAATTATAAAAATTTCGCCAAAAAAAAGAAGATAAACAAAATAGATAACTCCAGCCGTACAATATTTACCTTGTGACTTCGTAAGGTTACCCTAACATCGCTGTTTTGGTCTGCAGACGCGTTTTAGCTTTGCTATATGATGGCATCGGTAAAATAACAAGGATGGACAGGTCAGATGAGTGCCCACTCAATAATGATACATCTACAAGGAAAACAAACTATTTGAGCCCTGAAGATGATCTTAATAAAGGTCGAAACGTTGGCACGATAAAGAAAATGTTTTTCTAAAAGCTACGTCACACCAGACCACATCTTACGACCTACAAATAGTCAATAATGAAAAATATAATCAAATCTAGATCCGCCCATCTACGGTGTTTTGGTCTGTCCGATGTGTTACGATTTCTCGCCTTCGGTGATGTGTCTGATGAAAACACAGTAAAGGGGAAAGACGCCAGAGTTTTGAAATTACTGGAGATCAAGTAAAAAAACCAATAAAAATATTTTGTTTATGACCGAACTACACGTTCATCACCCGCAGAGACCCCCAATAATAACAATTGGATACAATTTATGTACACATCTTTTTGTATTTTCCACGTTTTTCCCCCTAAAAACTAACTTTCAATATTTTGAGATGGAAGTGCCTGGGCGGATTTTCTGCTATCCATAATTAAATATTCTCACAGGAAAATTCAAGGGCTCGTGTAACATAAAAAAATATATGGATTGACTAGAAAACTGATCAGCGTTGATCACTTCAACAGAACTTATATGGCCAATTGGAGGGGAAAAAACATGAATTTTCATTAGAATATTATTTTTCAATTAATGACACGTATTTTAAAATTA